ATGAGATGTTTATGCTTAGAATAATATCAGAAAGGGCAATACATATGTAGAATTATATATACCTACACTACAGTTCAAAAGTTTGAAGGTACCCTAGAATTAGCATGGGATGAACAATTTGCAGAATAGACCGCGGAGATTAGACCAGAAACAAGACCAGAACAGTGCGGTTTTCGTTAAAGCCACGACAAAGAGAAATGAGATGTTTATGCTTAGAATAATATCAGAAAGGGCAATACATATGTAGAATTATATATACCTACACTACAGTTCAAAAGTTTGAAGGTACCCTAGAATTAGCATGGGATGAACAATTTGCTGAATAGACCGCGGAGATTAGACCAGAAACAAGACCAGAACAGTGCGGTTTTCGTTAAAGCCACGACAAAGAGAAATGAGATGTTTATGCTTAGAATAATATCAGAAAGGGCAATACATATGTAGAATTATATATACCTACACTACAGTTCAAAAGTTTGAAGGTACCCTAGAATTAGCATGGGATGAACAATTTGCTGAATAGACCGCGGAGATTAGACCAGAAACAAGACCAGAACAGTGCGGTTTTCGTTAAAGCCACGACAAAGAGAAATGAGATGTTTATGCTTAGAATAATATCAGAAAGGGCAATACATATGTAGAATTATATATACCTACACTACAGTTCAAAAGTTTGAAAGTTTTTTAGAAGAAACAAGACCAGAATTAGCATGGGATGAATGTTTATGCTTAAATAATATCAAGAGCGAAAAAAATTATAATAAAAATGAGCTCCTTTAGACTTAAAGGAAGAGCATTGAAAAAACTCATTGAAAAAATGGAATCACTTATCAATCTTTGGTTTTGAAAGGGAGGCTCGGTGGAGTAATGGACAGCGGCTTGGATTGAAGAATCGGAGAGGCGAGTTCGAATTCCAGTTGTATCTATTCACTTACGTGCTAATACGCTTGGGAAAGGTATGAGCCCTCTTCTTTTCTCCCCTCCCACCCAGCAATGGGTAAATAACAGACCAGGTTCTGCGGATGGCAACTGGTCTACCGCAGAAAGAAACTGCAACCTACTGCAGGAAAAAAAAAACTGCTTCGTCAGTTATGTATCGAAAGGTTGTCTAAGCGTGTATTACGCATGGCACATAATTGTATACTTTGAAAAATTTTTGCATTGAATGCCAAAAATTTGTACTGCAGTAATCAAGAAGGATATTTTGACGAGAACAAAATTTAATCTCATAATGCTTACTTTCTTTCTGTAGTAATAAAATTTCCAATTAAAAGTCACGTCTCATTTTTTTTAACTATTTATAACAATTTTCTCTTATTTAAAGTACAAAACCAATACTTTTGGAGCCAATTTTTAAAAAATACCAGGATCAGCCTCAAACATTTGATCTGTAGTGTATGCTTTATACATTATGCAAAAGTACGACAGATAGAAAAATCAGGCTTGGCTGATCATATATAGAGGGAAAAGTGAGATCACCGCCCACTGTGGGATGAAGTTGAGATAATAGAGAACATCACTGGAAAATACGAAAACCTAAAGAATCAGTGCATATGTAATGCTAAAAGTATATCCACTAAGCCGGCCATAGACTTTAGCTTCATGTCTCGCACCTCCCGCCTGTGGAACTTCCTTCCCCTCTCCTGTTTCCCTGTGAGCTATAATCTTCAGCTATTCAAGTGTAATGTCAATCGACATCTCCAGTTGCCTTAATCTATACACTACCCTCATCCTTTCTTCTATCACTCCTAGCTGATCTTGCTATAAATTTTCTGTAACCCCTTGCGTTCTAGTGGCTTCCCGCCTTGCTTGGGGTGAAATGCTTAAAAAAAAATGTGCAAATTAATTGAAACAAAACAAATAATTCCGTTATTATTTACTTTTTCTTGTAATTTTCCAATGAAACATGACCCAGTGCACATGTTAGTAATTCGTATGTCCATTTCACGTAGTCGTTCTTGCAGATTAGCCACAGATTCACGATTGGATTTAAATCAGGAGAGGTTCTGAGCCAGTTGATAGTACTCACTGGCAAGGCTTGCCCGTGTGTTTGTGCAGAGTTACGATTTTCGTATGCTTCCTTGGAGTAAGGTCCATCGCAGACAATGGCCGTAGGACAACTAATCAACGTTCGAGACAATAGTGTCTGGGCGTGATTAAAATCTGATGCTATCACGGATGACGCAATATATTTTAAGGCCAAGCAAATTTCATCATACACCCTGAAAATAGATTCATATTCCTGCACAACACTGCAAATGACCTGATCTGAGGAAAAATAGAAATCGATTACACCATGTCACACCAGTGGGTCTAAAACTGACTGTATAGTGAAAATAGTAAACTAGTGGTTGTTTCAATTAATTTGCACAAGGGTGCAGAAATTGCGGTTACATCTAGACTAATCAGCCCTAAATTGATGATACTGTAATGCCAGTCTAATATTGCGCTTACATTCATAAAGTTTATGTACCATAGCGAATAATGAAATTATATAAAGAATCTCTAAATATATAGCAGGAATACCGGACCATGCGTGGTAGCAATATAAAACGCTTGGACGAATGGTAGACTTATAAATATCTAGGAAGTGTTTTAAGAGAGGACGTAGATGTGATGCCCAAATCCAAAATTACAAGGGGTCACTGAGTGTGAAAGAATAATAAAAAAAAGAAACATTATTCATGTAGCGAGAACAATAGAAGAGTAATCAGGAAGACAGTAGATAACAATCAACATTGTAGTTAAACTTTTGAAGATCAAAGTTCACTGGACAGCATGGAGCTGCAAGAGTGTTCCACAAGAGAGAAGTGCGAGAAAAGAAACTGTTAGAACTTACGGTTACATCTAGACAATTTAACTGTGAATTGATGAGACCTAGCCGCCAATCTAGTACTGCACTTAAATTCATAAAGTCTAAGTACCATAGCGCTCATCTAAACAATTAACATGAAAGTATTTTTTAGAAAAACAAAAAAACAAACACAGAGCAGCCACATTACGGCAGTGGCAAGTGACTGAAGCAGAGGCGCCATGTCTGGGCCAATAGTATTGTTGATCCTTGTTTGGATCTTATAAAGAATCTCTAAATATATGTCAGTAGCACCAGACAATATTCAAAGCATGGACGAATGGTAGACTTATAGATATGCAAGATAAATGGAGAAAAAATGTGTCTCACATGAAACACTGAACCAATTTTCTTGGCAGCTGACCTAGCAATGGATTAAAAAATTATATGCACATACATTTTTCCATTCCCTAATTGATTTATCCCCTGCCACTATTGAATGAGCTTCTTGATTCTGTTCTGATTCTATGCTTTATGATATCAGTGGTTGCTCTTCTTTTTATCGGTTGGACGAGCCATAATAGCAGAGTTTTATTTTGTTTTCATTTTTTGTTTCCTGCTATTTTGATATCTGAGTGCACCCTATGGTATTCCATATGTAAATCTTTACATGTTTTTGAAATAAAAAAAGGAAAAAATTATTTGGATATACGACGAAATTTTTTAGCAACGGAGGAGTTATCTTAGAACTCCCGAGAAGATTTGCTATTGTGGTGCAGGTTGAATTGAATGGAGAAGGATGGGTTCTTGTGTTGATTGCGGCATTAATCGGATTAGCGCGGTATTGTATAGACAGTGTCGACCAGCTTTTCTCCACCCCCACTTCGGCCTTCTGCTATTAATTAATGTATAAAAACAATAATTAATTAAAAGATATTATATGTTCTTATTTATTTGATTCAACGTTGATTCTTGATGACGGCTTGAAGATCAGACTTTCTTTGGGCACCTCGAGGCGGTGTAATGGGTAGCAAGCTTGTATCGCTAGAACACTAACGACTGAATAGTGAGTTCGAACCTCAGTGGGTGCCGCATACTTTCGGCCTTGTGTCACATCTAAGCTACGGTTAGAAAATCATTTGGCGTTGTAATGGTTAGCAAGCTTGTCTCGCTAGAACAATTACGACTGAAGAGTGAGTTCGATCCTCATTGGCTGCTCCATACTTTCGGCCTTGTGCCACATCTATGTTGCGCTTGGAAAATCACTAGGCTCCTCGGCGCGGTGTAATGGTTAGCAAGATTGTCTCGCTAAAACAGTTAGGACTGAATAGTGAGTTCGATCCTCACTGGGTGCCGCATACTTTCGGCCATGTGCCACATCTAAGCCGCGCTTAGAAAATCATTTGCCACAATTCTGTATGTTACAGAATAAATATGAGAAACCAGCCTTTCTGGAATCTCCGGAAAGTGATTATAAATTCCGTAAAGCTCAAAAAGTAAAAGACGCCATTTTAATGTCACTCATTATAAATCAATTGTTTACGATTTGGCCTCTTTGGATACATTTTAGTAAAACTCGTTTCTCTCGCTTTTTCAGACGTTTCTCTAGTTTCATAAAATACCGATGCATATAAACATTTTCTCTTAGCTTTTGAAAAGACATTCGTCGCCCGTTATTTATCATTGCAACGCAGTAAAATATATCTTGACGTACTTACACCAATAAAAAAAAGGCGGCCATAACGGAGCTTTCTTTCAAATATATGTCTCTCTTTCTACTTAGTGTTTTGGCTAATATAATTCTTATTTGCTAATTCATAAAAAAATGAGTAACAGACTTGCATTTTATATAGATATGGCAAAATAATCGTCCCATATATTTTCGCTGTTTGAAATAAATAATGTATAATATGCGGCCATACAAAATAGACATGTTTTGGACTGACATTAATAAGTACTTTCATTTAACGCCTCCGTAGACCTCTTTATTTATACTGGCAGTTTAGTCAAGCGTTGAAATTGCTAGATGTAAGCGAAAGTTCTATTCTAATAATTTTTCTCTCGCTTCTTTCCTTCTCTTCTAGATTGCGCTCAACAACTACCTTCAAAAATTTAAACACACCTTCAATCGCCATCTTGTCTCATTGAAGCCAGTTCCTTTATGATTTCCCCTACTTAACGCCATATAGCACTTAAACAGTGGTAACAGTAAGATCACCGAAGTTAAGAAACCTCGAGCCTGGTCAGTACCTAGATGGGTGACCGCTTGGGAATACCAGGTGTTGAAATTTTGGACGTGCAGGTAGTTTAATAGAGTGTCTAGGATGTTTTAATCGAAGAGCGGAGTTCCAATTTCAGTTGTGTTCGTTATATCAACTTACGCGCAAGTATCTTTAGGAAAAGTATAAATCTACCTATTCTCCTCCAAGCTATGGGTTAATTAGTAAGACTTGTATAACTAAATCATTATTATTTGTAAACAAAAAAAAATTACAATCTAAAAATATTTTCAGGTTTTAATTAACCTGCAAAAGGTCGATAAGTCGTATAAAACGAATCGATCAATTAACCAACAAACCCTGCACAATAATATTTTCTCAGTTTCTTTCAATCGCAATAACTACTTACGTCTTAGGGACTTAATCGCCTTGATTGATGTGAAATGAAAAAAAAAATTAGATTTTTTCGCTTGTGTTTATACGTGATGACAACAAAAACAGATTTGCTTGATATCGAATTTTTTATGAAGCATATCACCCCAAGGAAATCGGGAGTGCCACTAGCACGCAAGGGGTTACAGAGAGTGGGAACAAGAGTAAAGAGGGGTGTTCATGGAAAGAATAAAGAGAAGGACTGGAATCAAGATCAAGGCATCAGGAGATGTCGATTGACATTACATTTGAATATTTAAATATTATAGCTATCAAAGAAGCAAGTAAGTAGAAGGGAGTTCCACTGACGGGAAGTGCGACATAAGAAGCTGTTGGAGTAGAAGAGACGGCTACATTTAGCTGTTTTGCCAGTGAGAGTATAGGACCGAGATGCCAACCTAGTACCACGCTTACATTCATGCAGTTTTGGAACCACTGAAATTAGCTCGTCACAGCAGTTGCCATAAAAATACGTGTAGAAAAGAGGGAAGCAACAGCTCGTCGTGAGAAAGTGATGTAGACGAGATGCCAGATCAGGACCTATGACATTGCATATTGATGCAAATGATGGGTTATGAAAAGAATGCCGTGGAAATGGAAATAATATTAAAGATAGTTTTGTAATGCCATGTCTCTCTAGGGGATAGGCGATGATGTCTCCCCATGTATTAGTTTTCTTTGTTATCTATGAATTGAAATCATTCTTGCATATAAAAGTGGCGTGGTTTTCCATTGCCGTTTGCACGGTTTTGAATTCAAAAACCAACATTTTTTTCAGTGCTATCATTAGATATCTTGATAAATAACGTCTGCCAGGAAATCTTTCAGCTAATGGATAATCATTACTCTCCACAACTTCTTCTCTATGTAACTTTTACCTCTTTACTACGTTTTTTCCCCTTTATTTCTGTCATTGTCATATAGGAAGAAAATAAGTAACTACCGACACCGAGGTTCGAGTGTGACATTTTGGACTTATGAATATATGTTTTCCGTGTATACATAGTGGTGTCAGGCTACTGACTGCGGTGATTATTGAGTGACTATTGAGTGGAACTATCCAGTCGAATTAGTGTGAATTATTCTGCGTCGATGATTTGGGTTTTGACTTAAGATTTGCCGGACGTTAAGCCGAGCCGCGCTACTAACAAGGTATTCACTGAAATGGTTAATTATCTTTGGTTGAATTTTACTTCTTTGTTCTTTATAAGTATTTATTTCCGATTTTAATTAAATATTGTTTTATCTTAATATTGAGGTCTTGTTATTAACGGCCACCGTACGTCAAAAATGTCATGTATCCATTCAAAATCGTTAGGTGGTTTAATCGTTTTTTGTCTGTGCTTCTCTTGTGTCCAGTATGTCCTGTGAGTGTTAATGTTGCCAGACCCACTTCCTGCATTATATGATCCAGACATTTTTTAAAATCGAGTTCACCCGTAGCAAGGCAGTAAATCAACTAAGAAAAAAATGTGTTATTGGGTGTGGAAGAATTAGAAAACGGAAATATTACTAAGAAGCGAGAACAAATGGAAAAGTAATCAGGCTAAGACCTTTATGCCAAACCTTGTCAAAAGCCTTCGAGATGTTCTAAGCTACAGCCAAAGTCTCTTTCTGATAATGCCAGTCTTCTTGTAGTTCTATCCTTGGCGCTATATTATCTAAAACGATACGCTACTTTGTAGCGTTGCCTTAGATACTAATAATTATCTTTTTTGTTCATAATGAAAAGGGTAATGTTGGTCTAAACCTGTTACAGCTTGTTTTAAAAGCGAAACAATAGAATAGAGAGCGAAGTTATAGTCTGAAGCAAAGTTAAACGAGAATAAACCACATACTTCTCAATAAGCAATTATATGCTTTACTTTTTTGCGCTATATAAGGTTCAAGAGCCACTCAACGAAGAGTGGTGTTACTGAATTGTAAATATCAGTCAGTCAGTTGATACACGCTTAGGCGATCATGTATCTTTCCAAACATTTGATACATGAGTGAAGAGGCAGATTTTTTCCCGCAGTAGGTTGCCATTTCTTTCAGCGGTAGAACAGTTGCAATCCAAGGCTATAGAACCCGGTGTGTACTGCTATTTATCCATAGCTTCGTGGAGAAGAGGAGGATTAATACATTGGTACGAGGGGAATAGGGATGAATCGACCCTGTGTAAGTGGTATGACGGGTCTTAGGCCTGAAAATCAAAACTTGTGGCACGAAGGATGTAATCCGTGTGGACATTTGCTATGAAGATAGCGATAGAATAGCAAGAGAAGAGCAGTGTTTCGTTTCAAACAATGAACTTCTATTGTGATCATCCACCAGCCTGCGTAAGCACTTTTAAACTGTGTCATGCATTACAGCACGGTAATACTCCAATTTATTGTGATCTGGTTCTTATAAAGCTGAAGCGTGTCAAGAGGAATCAGCTACTTTCTGTCCCGGTACAAGGAACCGGGAATTTTTCTAGCATCGTTACTGTCCGCCTATGTGGCAGTAAATGCTGAATAATCTCCTTACAGACGAAGAAGAGACGTGAAGACACAGAAATGTGGTTCGACAAAAGGATGCTGAGAATATCGTGGATTGAACATGTCAGCAAGGATGAAGTTTTAGAGGAAATGGAAACAAATCAAACACTTATACTTAACATCAGGAAGAGACGGTTGGATAATTCTAGGGTACATAATGAGGAAAGAAGACTTGGAGAATCTGATACTCACAGGACAGCTTGAAGACAAGAAGGACAAAGAGAATGCATAACGTTCCTAGTGAGTTTGAGTAAATGGTTGGCAGAACAGAGTTTAGGAGAGATAAACAAAAGACAAAATTTATTTAGCGCTAGATAGGACAGGACATTGTGGAGGGCCATAATCGTATGAAGCAATATATGGAATTGTTGATTCTGAATTTGACTCAAAATCTTTGCCTTGTACCAGACTATCATAGACCTAGAAAATATACATGTAACATTTTTATAAGATCTTGGAGCGATAATTTATAGGAATGGCTAACGTGACAATCGAGAAAGACATCATTTGGATTTTTAGTTGGAAAGCTCAAATTGTGGCCTTGTGCCAGACTATATTAGGCCCTGTAAATCACTATATTTCCAATAACAGAGGAATCTAGCGTCACTGTTTCGGAATGTTTAGTAAGCTTGTCTAGCTGAGCATAGTGACAGTCACGAGATCGATTCGTATAGGGCGCCCAGTAATTGCGTCAATATGGGCACACAATCTTAACCACGCCTTCGCTGTTTCGACACTTTATCCTTCCCAATCTTACACTCTAATCTCTCTCTCACTCCACATACTCTGTTTTTCTCCCCCACCCCAATCTCTCCCTACTATATATTTCCCTCTCCACTTTCACACCTTCTCTCTGCACCTGCTCACTCTCTCTCTCTCCCTCTCTCAGGCCACTCCCGCTTTTTCTCTCACATTCTAAACCTCTATCTCTCCTTTCACCCCCTTCCGACTCTGTTTTTATTCTATCTCTAACCCCCCCTAACTTCTCTCTTCTTCTCATCTATCTCCCTTCCGACTCAGTCAACCTTCTCTCTATGTGATCCTACTCCATCTCCACTCTCTATTCTCTCCCCTCCCATCACACTACTCTCTTTTCTTTCTCTTTTAACACTTTCCCTCCTTCGTTCTCTCTCACTCCCCCCACCATTTCACTATCTCCTGCCACTATTTCTTTCTACACTCTTCTCGCATTGTTTCTCTCTACACTTTCTCTCTCGCCTCCTCAATCTCTGCCTACTCACTCTCAACTTCTCCCCCCCTCTCTTACTAGCTGCTTATTATTTTGACACGATAAGTAATTAGTAATTTACAGTCGGATTGTAAATTCTCCTACCACTTTCTATCTCTCTGAAAAAGTTTAATTGAAATACGGCGCGATTTCTTTTTTTTTAACGCTGACCCCTGCGGGGGGGTTAAATAAACTATTAAATTGCAAACACGTGGTGTTCAGTCGCTCTCTCCATCTCGTCGAAAGTTAAAAAAAAAAAATGAAGCTTAATAGGGGTAGGAAGAAAAGATATTCCCAGAATAATAGACACGGAATATAAAGGAGGAAAAAAAAATTAAAAATAGGCTAAAAAGTAAAAGGTAATTTTTTATTTTTTGACAAAAACGTGAATAGCATATTTACATATCTAGCTATACGAATGGGCTGATTTTTTAAATCTGTCTCCTTAAAACTTTCTCTGTATAATTTAATGTCTCCATTACAAACACACACACAGACACACACACAGAGACAAACACACACACACACACACACGTATACACACACACACACGTATACATACACACACACACACACACATATATATATATATATATATATATATATATGTGTGTGAAAAATATATAGAAAATAGGAAAGAACTCGTTAGGTAAATAATCCAAAGTTCTTTAGTATTTTTGTTATTATTTTTAAAAAAATAGTGCTCGATACAAAAGTAGAGCATAAATATAATTATTAATTTAAAATATGATTCCAACACGCGTGTTGGAATCATATTTTTAAATAAATAATTATATATATATATATATATATATATATATATATATATATATATATATATATATATATATATGTATCGGGTAGTAACAGCAAAATTGTCCAAATC